TCCCAGTTGGGTTTAGCAGAGTTGACGTTTTCTGATGGTGGAATTTTTCTCGGTTTGTTATGCTTTCAGAACTCGATGCTGGCTCCTGATTGGTGGAATTCCTTCTGTTCATCTGCCCCTTTCTCAACTCCATCTTTCCCAAGTGAAAGCCAGTAAGTGCCGTGTGTATAATTCTCCTACGTTTGCATACCCAGTGATTCAACTGTTCCTTCGTTCACTTTTTCACTAAGCGATGGGGAAATAGTTGCATCACACAGTGTTTGTGGCATTTTACAAACTTCTACATCTTGGAAAAGATACAGCCTTTGTGAAGACATGGGAAATCATTGCCTCGTGTAAGCTTTGAAACTGATTTAGGGGAGAGAAGACCTTGTGAGTCTAGATTTGTTACACTAATGGTGTTCATAAAACACACCATTAATCTGCTCTGGTTGTTCTAATGTATCATAGAGGTAGGTAGCTTTATATGGCAGGGGAAAAGGAAGGCATTTCTGCTCTGAGGGAGGCAGAGTGACATGTTTATGGATGAAGTAGTATTAAAAGCTACGGTAATATAGATGGTTGGAGGCTGCTGATTCGTAGTAGTACTGTCCTGGCTGTATTAAGCTTCCATTTTAAATGACCAGCACGTTTGTATTCAAAATGCACATGCCATTTAACTGAGCAAGCCAGAGTGTATCAAGACCGTTGCCTCTTTCTCAGCTTGCAACTGACACGGTTTGCTAGTAACCTCATTACTAATCCAGCAAGGTGTGAAGTGGTGAGAAGTATTAGTTGATGTGAGAAATTGTAACTTCCTCCTAAGTAAATTCCCACCATCTGTGTACACCCTGAATAGCGTATGCTTGTAAAAGGCACAGCTGCGATGTTTTCAGTAAACTGTGCATAGGAACAGTGGCCTCCATTTGGTCGAATTCTGGCTTACAGTTTTCCTTATAGACTCACTGGAAAACCTCAAGACCTAGTTCAGTACCTTGGCGATAAGTGCTTTGGAATAAAATGTTTTGAATGTTCTCTATCTCCCGTAGAGTAGGGATGTGAAGGACCAGTTGACTAATTGACTTTCTAATAAGCAAATGCTTATCGACTAGTCGCTCCCTCCTCCGCACTCCCCTCTCCCCCCCGCCCTCTTTCAGACAGAGGTAGCAAGGAGCGGGGGAGAACTGAGGGGTACTTCAAAGTGGCAGCACTGCATGGAGCCAGGGTCAGCTGCTCCGTGCGGCACTGCCACTTTGAATGCCACAAGAAGCCTGTCAGGCTCCTTGTGGCATTTCAAAGTGGCAGCTCTGTGTGGAGCCCGGAATCACCTGGGGACTCCTCCGCTGTCCCTGGGCTCCATGTGGCACTGCTGCTTTGAAATACCACGGTGGCCTTTCAAAGCAGCAGTGCCTGCACGGAGCCCGGGGTCATCGGGGAGTCCCCAGCTGACTCGGGCTTTGGTGCCTTCGCCTTTGAAGTGGAGGCGCCCTATCAACTAATCAAATAGTTGATGCAAAAACGCACCGACTATTCGATTAGTCAATTACCCGAGACTTAACATCTTTCCCCTAGAGTCAGTCTGAGCCCCTGTGAATGCGGCTCTCCTCATGAGCACCAAGCTGTGTGCTCCTATAGGTCGTAAGAACACGGGCTGTGATGCACCTTCTTTGGGGTTTTCTCACCTGAGGAGCCTAGCAGCAGGGTGCAGTGCTAGCAGTGCATTGTGCCACCACAAAACGGATCCGAGCTCAGGCTAGGATGTTCAGGCCAATGAGGGCTGGGAAGGGGTGCACAGGGACATGGGGTCGCTTTCAGGCCTGCCTAGGGAATGGAAGGAGGGGCACAGAGGGGCCAAAGGTGAGCTGCATCTGTACCTGGCTGCCTGTGGGAGGGTTGTTTTGAGCAGCGGAGAGGGGCTGATGGAAAAGTGCAATGGGGCTCCCAAAGCTGGACCAAGTTGTTCACTTGTGGAATAGATCCCTGGGCATCGTTTGGGGGACTTTGCCCATTTGAATGTCTCAGTCAGAGAACAGAAAGCTCCCTTCTGATGAGCCTCCCCCTTTGGGGTTGGGCTGTGGGCTTCGTTACACTTGATTTTAAAACCTGCTTCTGTGAGGCCCAGAAGACGGGTCGACAGACTCGGGCTTGCGCTGCTAAAACCAGCAGCATAAACATTGTGACTCAGGCTTTGAAACCTCCCCCGACTGGCTGGGCTTCAGAGGTCCAGCTCCAGCCCAAATGTCTGCACAGCTGTTTTTAGCGCCCGAAAGCAAATCCCACGAACCAGAGTCTGGTCACCTAGATGCTGAGCCTTGCGGCTGGGGTTTAAATCACTTACCCTGTGACTCCCTACCTAGTCACCAGCCATGAGAATCCAACTACTCTGTTCAGATTACTGCCGTGTTCTCTCCCTTGTTTTTCTTTCCGCTTTTCTCTGCCATCCCCATCCCACCTCAGTGTGAGAGACAAGTTAGCCAGAAATGATGGGCTGAACAGAATGACTTATACAACAGATTTTGCTAAATGGTTACCAAAAATCTGTTGTGCATGTGGTGGAAGTTATTCAGCCTTGTTAGTTACTCCTCAGACCAGGAATTTGGACAGAAGTTTTCAGATAAGATCAGCCTCTTTGCACTTAGCCAGGCTGTCTGTGTGCTTGGAAGAGGGTGTGCTTTTTTTGAAAACGATTCCTGTAAATTACACTTTCTGTATCCTCCAGGGAGCTATAACAATTTGTTTTGCTCTATCGAACCACAGGTTGATACGGTATTTATCTGTTGTTCTTTCCCTTCTGTCTGACTGTTTGCTGTCTTTTTATCCTTCACTTTCCCCCGTTCGGTGCCAGTACTCCTCCATTGCGCTGGTGACCTTATTGCTGACCCTGCCAAAACTTAAGCATACATGTAACACAGAGCAGTCCAGTTGATGTAGGAGTCGTATTATCATACCTGTAGTAATAGATGTGTCTGAGTCACTTTAGGACTTTGAGCCTATCATAGCATTTATTTAATAAAGGATGCTAAAGTTAGGGTTGCAAAATGGTTTCAGTTTTAGCTCCCTGTTTTTGTATGCTCATGAGTTCCCCAAAAATTACTTTTCAGATGAAATTTTCCATTCTTTTATTCCATACAAAGGAAAGACTTAAAAAAAAGAGGAACTTGTAGCTTTTAGCAGGTTAGTTAGACTCATGTAGACGGGAAATACATTTTTTGCTGGAGAGGAAGAAGATGACCACAGTTGTCTGATCACACAATTTTTAGCCAGATGTAGATGAGCTCACAAAACATTTACTAAATTTTTAATTGCAGCTGTTTTGAAGCTACGTATAGTGGGCAGGCACAGTAGAAATTCTGAGAGTTCAGTCTTACACTCTGCTCACTTTTGTATGGAGCTATAGCTGTTGTGTCCTTATACTTTTCTTTAAAAACAATCTACAGTGTTAAAGGCAAGGAAAAAAGTAATGAACTGAGACACTCAGTAAAAATTGCCAAGTTAGGAAATATAAGCCAAGGTCCTCACAGTAGCACTAACTTGGTCAAATTTAACACATGCCATGGTTTTTCTTCTTGCATTCATTGTCCTAAACATCCAGGATGTACAGGCTGGCCGAGTTGATGTTACCACAGGAATCTTAAAGGGACACTGCTAGTCAGGTGATGGCTCATTTAGATCACCCTTTAAAGAGTATGGTAGCAATTAAAAATAAGATTTTTCTTAGCTTTCCTGTTAGAAGGGACTTGTGGACGGATCTGAGAGCAATACAAGCAAGCAAGCTCAGGCCAATCACTCCTCCCGCCTGCCTTCCTTTTAGTGCACACACCTGTTGGCTGCCTGCCCACCTTCATTTTTGGCTCTGCTGCTGTCCTTGGGAACTCGCAGTGTGGGTCTTTATGAGAGGTCATGGAGGCATCAGCAAGGCAATGAAACTCGCAAGGCTCAAAAGTGCTGTCAGATGAAACAAAGGAGGAAGAACAATACAACTTCTCCTCTTCACCTGTCAGTGGTGATACTTGGGAGGTGAACTGTAATAACCGTAGGTACATCCTAGTCAGTGCCATTCTTAGAGAGCAAGTGTCCCTTTTGTCTTTAATGTCCTGCTATTTTGGGACAATCACGCTGCAACCTCAGATTTGCATTAGCTGATTCTGCATGTAACTGAGATGGTGCTGTCCTTGAAAAGCAGCTTGGTAAAAATAGCAAAAATACAGAAATGAATTTAAAAAAAAACAAACCCTCTGATCACGAACCCCATCTCTGTTACCACAGACTCCATAAGGGAGGAGGAGTCATTTGCCAAAGGCTGTTTTTAGATATGGCTTGTTCTTCTAGTAACAGCTTTGTCCTGAAGCAGGTTTTTCCAGTTTCTTCTAAGTACTTAACTTTTGCAGGAGGATGGATTTGATTGAACAAGAGGGTAAAGTTTGCATTTCTTTTCCAAACTTTCTTAGGCCACAAAAAATTACAATATGATCATTATTCTTGTAAAAGGCTGAACCAGGCAAATCAAGAGGATCCTACACAGGGGAAATGTTTAGATGTACAGTATTTATAAGGTAGCAATCACTTTTAATAGCTGAGCTCCTGTTACAATAATAGGCTTGATAATTTACTCTCATCAGGATAAATCTGGAGTAGCTCTGTTGATGTCAGTAGTGTTGCGTTTGTATTGCTCCACTGTTGTCAGCTGAGTTGTGCTTCAGTAAGTAAGTGGAGCACTAGGCCCCGTATGTTTAGCAGACAGCATTTCTCAGTTTTTGGAACATGACTTCCCCCACCCCAGTCTGAATGTGTAACTGCGGTGTAATAATACATTATTATCAGGGATGGTCTAGACAATACTGGGTCCTGCCCTGAGGGCAGGGGACTGGACTCGATGGCCTCTCGAGGTCCCTTCCAGTCCTAGTATTCTACGATTATAAAACAAGCCCAGAAGAAGCATCAATTTCAGTTTAACAGTGAAGAGGGAAAGGACTGGAGTTAAGCCTCATCTGAGTTAGGGATATAAAAGGTTAACTGGTTAACCGGTGAGCATTAGTCTTACTGGTGAACCCACATTAACCCATTAACCATAACCGGTCCCAGCCTCACTGACTACTGGGATGACCCCTAGCAGTTTTATCAGTTAACGGTGTAAATGATACATTTTAATTGCTTAAAAAATCATAGAATCATA